CACTGAGGAGTGTGTTTACCTCACTGAGGAGTGTGTTTACCTCACTGAGGAGTGTGTTTACCTCACTGAGGAGTGTGTTTACCTCACTGAGGAATGTGTTTACCTCACTAACAGAGGAGTGTGTTTACCTCGCCAACAGAGGAGTGTGTTTACCTCGCCAACAGAGTTACCTCACTAACAGAGTGTGTTTACCTCACTAACAGAGGAGTGTGTTTACCTCACTAAGATGAAGGCTGAGTTACAGGTAAAGTTGTTAGTGTTCTTATGAATCTTAAGCACCGCACTCTAAATTTACATGATTATCCCTAAAAGACGAGCAGCCCTCACCAAAGCTACTCTGCAGATAAAAGCAGAGTTAAAGATGAATCTTTAGCTGTCTTGAAGTAAACAAAAGCTCTTAAGGTTCGTCCACCTGCTGCTGGTAGCTGTGCTCTGCAGCTGTCAGGAGGACACCGCCCCTAAAGGCTGAAGAGGTTAAACCCTTGTGCCCCCCCACCCCACCCCCTCCAACAGATGGACGATCCTGTTGAAGAGGTGCAGACGTCACCCCAACAAACCTAACTAAACCCCCACCACCAGGAAAGAAGGGTCTCAGACAGACCATATGTTCCCTGAGTCCTCGCTGAAACCCCACCCCCACGATTTGTGGGAGGAGTCAGGAAGGACTGGGGGTGTTTGTATGATTGTCAGAGACGCTGGAGGAAGGGTGGAACCCAGTAACACACCTGTTACTCCTTCCTGTAAATGAGTTGGTTTGTTTGTTCAGACACTCCAAAAGTTATCCATCGGAAAAAAAGTTTAAAAAAATACGAGATTATTGTCTGAATCTTCTTAGATTAAATGAAATAATCTATCAGAGCAGGAAAACAAAGGCACTTCTTAAAACACATGCTGCTCCTGCTGGTAAATTAGTCACAAAACAAGATTAAAAATAAAGTTTGACCTAATATAAGATTGTAAGATTTGGTTAGATGGACATTTTTTTCAGTTTAGCCAAAACGTTCCTTAAACCAGTAAAGCTATCAGAATGCCCTGTTCAAGATGGCCGCCACAGCTAAAAGAGAAAAAGGGCTTGAAGTTAGCTAATTGTGTGGATGTTGACCTAATATTTGGTGTGGTAGTAGCTGAGAGTTGACCTCAACATGTACTCTGAGGACCTATCAGGTTTATAGGTTTAAACTTTCTGTAGCACCCTCTTTTCTACTTTGAAAGTCTGACATGGAAAATCGACAGTTTTTACAGAAATGTTTGGCTTTAAGTTACTTTAATAAATTACGGTCGTTCTCAAAAACACTCTGCCAATAAAAAGACTGAGGTAAAATTTCACCCTTCAGATCCAAAACTGAGAGAAACTAAACTATTACCTCCTGGCACTGCTTATTCAGTTGTAAAATAAGACGGATTTCACCAAACCCACTTAATAGCTCCTTGAACACAGTGAGAGGAGTAAAAACCAGTTTAAAGTTTTGTGTCTTTGTTACTGTAGGCCCTCCTGTGGTCAGCAACCATCCATAGATTATCCTCCAACTCTTCTGGCCTCTTCCAGAACCAGCAGGCCTGACTGGGCTTTGTGTCTTTGTCTGGGCTCTGCGTGAAGCTGCAGGTCTTTGTTAGCCTGTCAGAGGTGGGGGCTGGGGGGCTTGTTAGTTTCATCAGGATGGTTGCATCTGCACAACCAAAGTGTTTGAACTGAGTGAGTTTTGTCCTGAAAACATGTCTGTAAAAACATCTTACTGCCTGTCAGCGTCAAAAACTACAAACCTTCTTCAGTAGACGTCCACCATGATGGAATAGTTTCTGAAAACCATGGAGCTTAGTCTCTACCTCACGTAGAGGAGTTTATCTGGGAGTCTTGGATTGAGGATGTTGCTCCGGTCATTCGTGGTGAAGAAAGAACAGAGTAGAAAGGCAAAGCTCTGGGTTTACTGGTGTGTCTACGGTCCACCTCTCACCTGTGGGTTTGGATTGTGACCAGAAGAACCAGGTCCCACATCAACAACGAGTTAACAGGTGACTCTGGATCAACACAGCTTCACTGCACCACAACTGTTTGTCCAGTGTTGTATAAAGTACCACACAGTGTGTATAAAGTACCACACAGTGTTGTATAAAGTACCACNTTTTTTTTTGTTACAGCTTAGAAGAAAAAGACGTCTACAAAATCTAAAACTACATCATGCTCAGTRTGAGGAACGTTTTGAGGCCGCTAACACAAAGAAGTTAAAAAGAGAAAGTCAGAGAACGTTGAGTCTGACTACCAATATGAATTATTCTGTGAGTATTTAAATGCAAGCAGAAACAAAACATTAATTTCATTATATGCAATGAATCGTCTTTGGGATTTTCATTTTAGAGTTTTAGAATTTCCAAAGATATACAAAATGTTTAATTTCTCAGTTACTCATTGTATCTAGTTTATGCACATATTTGAAGGACAGAGGCCACAGATTTTTTTCATTTAAAATCTTTCATTTTAACTTGATACCATAGGTAAGCCATAACACAAAATGTTATGTGTTGTTCTCCTGTATAACAGTCTATTATATCACACTGTACATTGAGAAGTCTTGTGCTGTAAAGACTTCTGTCCCAATAGTCATGAGCTTGTCTCTGTGWTAGGAGCATTATTTGCTAACTTTAAATCTAATGTAACTGGGTGTGAAATGTTTATTCAGTAAATTTTAATCATTAATAATGGTTTTAAAAGGTTCGACTTGCTGAAGTTGATGATGGTGGATTTCATGATGCAGACGATTCAAGCGTTAGTGACCAGGTAATTATAATTCAGTTGTTAAATAGAGATACAAAAATGCATTGTATGAAAACAAACRTTTTTATTATATGTATTAAATGAACAATTTTTCAAAAGTCACTTATGGACCTTTCATGGTTCTTTAGGGAAAATTATATTGTAGCTCTTTAATATCTTTTTCTTTTTCCTCAGATTTCTGATCTSGAGTCTTCAGATAACACAGATTATGACGATATTGACTATGTTCCTGACTCATGTGGCAACTCTTCAGACTCAAATGTTCATGATGAGGAACYAAGAGTGACAGACAGTTCTCCAAAAAAATTGTTACATGACATTTCAGAGGGGATGGTTACAGCACACGATGTGGAAATCACTGATTCTCATAGTTCTTCTGTGATAAGTTGCAGTGCCGATTCAACAGAGAGTATTTTGCACAACAGCAGCTCTGTTAAAGTCACAGCATTACCAAAACGTGGAACAGAGGGCAAATACAACAAGAAGCAATATTGTTTGTGTTGTAAAAAAGCCGTTTCTAAATTGGCAAGGCATCTTGAAAGTGCACACATTAACCATCCTGATGTTGCACAGGCATTCAGTTTTGATAAAGGATCCCAMAAAAGAAGAGAGCTGTTACGTTTTCTTAAAAAGAGGGGAAACTTTGAACATAATGCTACTGTGGCAGTCCAAGGTGCTGGAGAATTTGTTGCTTGTCGAAGACCCTCTACTGAAAAACGATCTGATCACTATCGTCATTGCAAATTTTGTCAAGGGCTATATGCAAAAGAAAGCCTTTGGAGACATGTGAGAAGGTGCCCCCAGAAGCCTGTTAAAAGAGACTGTCCCGCTGGACAAAAGCGGATACAAATTGACTTGCCAAAACCCCAAAAAGTTAATGAAGCTGTTTGGAAGATTGCTTGTGAAATGATCCAAGACAACATTTCCATGGTTGTAAAAAATGAAAGAGACATTCTTCACCTTGGTGAGTCACTGTACAATGGCAGGAAACCGAATGAAAAAAGGAATGATTACATTCGTCAGAAAATGAGAGAGTTGGCAAGGTTGTTGATAGTCGCTAGAGCTAAAACACCTTTGAATACAATAGAAGACCTTGTTATGCCCAGCAACTTTCCTCATGTGTTACAAGCAGTCAGAGAAGTTGCTGGATATGACTTGGAAAGCAACTCCTATAAAGTCCCATCCTTGGCTCTAAAATTGGGGCACAGTTTAGCCAAAGTTGCAGGAATCGTGCAGTGCAATGCTATCATTTCAAAACGCCATGATGTTGCYGAGTCAGCCAAGCAATTTGCCATTCTGTATCAGAAAAAATGGGCAGAGTCAATTTCATCTGCTGCATTGGGCACGCTTCATCAAGCCAAATGGAATAAACCTCAGCTTTTGCCATTTACAAAGGANTCTCATTCAACCACAGTTAAATTCACTCTATCTAGGAGGCTCAGTTTATATGGATAGTTTTTATTTTTTACAACAACAAGCTGCAATGAAAACAAGCAGAAATGAAATAAAAGGAACAACTTTATACTTCTTGTCTTTTTATAAAATGTAAGGAGTAAAAACTAGGCTGAAAAATAATTACTCAAGTAAAGTACAGATACACAAAAACTCTACTTAAGTACAGTAACAAAGTATTTGTACTTGGTGACTGTAAACCTGTGCATTAGTCTCATCATTAAATGTGTGTCAGTGAGCAGGTCTGTACATTTACACACAGTCTGCTCGTATTCTGGAATTGTTGCACTCAGATTTTAATCCATAACTTCTGTTTTGAACAGTTTAATTTGCTTCACGTCTTGTTTTTTTACTGAACATGTGAAGTCCTCAGACCCTCAGTCCTCCTCATGTGCTCACAGAGCTTTTTCACTTTGCTCAGTTTTTATTCCTGAAAGTACAAAGTGAAAAAAAAAAGGTAAAAGCAGCAGCAGGTGAAGCAGCTTTTAATCCCAGCTCCACTGCAGGACGCTTCACAGAAACTGACTGTAACATAACAGACTCCATGTTTCAGACTGCAGCTGAACTGACTGTATACATGCAGCAGAGCCTGAGACTCACTCACTCATTCATTCATTCATTCATTCATTCATTCATTCATTCATTCATTCATTCATTCATTCATTCATTCATTCATTCATTCATTCTGTTGTCATTTCTTCACTCTCAGCTCTTTTTGCTGCTTCTTTCTGCCTCAGCTGGACGTCAGCAGGAGACGTGGATGAAAGGGGAGGAAATTAACTCAAACTCTAAGAACAGGGCAGAGAGCTTTTATTGTCCCGTGTGTTGCTATGACACCAGTGTGTGTGTGTGTGTGTGTGTGTGTGTGTGTGTGTGTGTGTGTGTGTGTGTGTGTGTGTGTGTGTGTCAGGACCAGGCAGACATTTGTTTGTTGAATAATCACACAAAGTTTACAGTTTCTTAGAGTTGCTGTGGAAAATTATTTGTTTTTTTGTTTTTGCTCAAAGTTGTCAGCAAACTGTTCAAAAGAACTCCACACTTATTATTATTATTATTATTATTATTTAGTATACGTTTAATCTAAACTGTTAATTTGTCGTATTTATGGGATGACAGTGTGCAGTGGGTGTGTGTCAGGAAACAGATTGTGTTGCTGTTTGGATTGTTGTTGTCATCACCTGTGTGTCAACATTTAACACTAAGAATGATGTCATTCATACTGTATATAAATAAACTACAACTCATTCACACCGGTCCATGTTGACCATCAACAGTCTGCAGTAACGAGGTCGTGGCCATGCATTTATTTTCACAATTTCAACATGCTGTTTCTTCAGCAGTGGAGTCTTGCGTGGTGAGCGTGCATACAGGCCATGGTGGTTCAGTGCATTACTTATTGTTTTCTTTGAAGTGGTCGGTTTATGGTGAAATGATGTTCTTTCCACTTCTGAATTATGGCCCCAACAGTGCTCACTGG